AGTTTCTAAATCAAGTTCATTGATTGAGAACACTGAGTGATTGGGGATCCATTTTCGAAAAATATTGTTTTCTAAAGATTCCTTCTTCTCATTAGTGTTTTCCAAACAGGTAGAAAAAAAAGTGAATTAAAATATGAGGTCATAGTCAATCTGGCTACAAAGGTGCTATATTAAAATGGTAGAAATTTTACACAGACTTTGTACAAAATAAAAATCTGGATAAGGCAGCAAAGATAGGAAGTCACTTAGGTGGGCTCTTCAGGAAACAACAAATAGCCCTACTGTGATGAAAAGCAAGGCAGGCATGGGGGGAGTATAATAAAGGTTTGAAACAGGATGAATGACCAAAAAAAGCCATTATCAGTACCTTGCAATTGATGACTTATTTAGCTACTGTGTGATCTATGGAAAAGACCTAATGCCAGCTCAGTCATACTTTTCTCTCCCCTGCTTGTCTATTGTCCCTGTATTTACAAAGTTCTACTTCTCAAAAACATATTATTTTAAGAATTATTAAAGCCCAGTCCACTTATATAGTTTTAATGCGCTTGACATTTTCTGCTTGCACTTCTGAATTGTAATTTCTAAAAATAACAATAATAATTCATATTACTATTGAAGCAAGAAACATCAATAACTTGATTTAAAGACATAGGAGAAATCAAAAGGCATTAATTAAGCCTTTATGAATTCATAACCACTTGTTTGCAAATAGCAGAAAGTCGTCTCGAGGAGCTGACAAAATATAATTAAAAAGCTTTTGAAAAAGGTTATTTTGTTAAATGTAGAATTCAGAAGGCTTTTTCCTCTTGTCTGTTTGTTTTCATGGTATTTCGTATTAGGGAAGCAGTGCTTTTAACAGCTTATGGTTGAGAAGTGATCAGCCTTTGACTTGCCCATGTTTTGCAATCTGTCTCTCTCTGCAGTTCTAATCTGGCACAGTGATGCAAGTACAAACTCAGTGCCAAATTCACTGCTGATATATGCTTGCAGCACAAACCTATTTGACTCCAGTGGGAAACGCATGAAATATAAATCTATGAAGGATTTCACCCCCTGCTCTAAACCGAATGATTTTTGGTCTGATCTGCATGAGATGTCAGGCAGTTAGGGTACATTTATTATCTCAGTGGAGTTATGCTGCTTTACAAGAGCCAAGGAGCTGGCCTCGTATGTACAACCAACATTAAAGCAATGAAAATAATTCACAGGAAGTTCTGCCAGATAAATATATTACTCTCCAGAATATAAATGTATGCCATATTGGAAACAATTGATTCCAGAGTCCTACTCAATGCCTTTGTTCCAGCAAATACCAGGGAAGGCGCTGAGAGTGTGAAGAAAGACTTCTGCCAAAGTTCTTCACATCTGCTCATATTGCACTAATTGCAGCCATTGAAATTATCCCACTTCATTTATTCAGCAAGAGAGTGGCACTCCACACAATATAATATGCATGATGAAAGAAGGAAAACAGCTGTAAAGTGACATGCAAGCAAAACAGGCATATTGGGGAAAAAAATCATGGACGCCTTGTTAAAAAGCATCTGCAGGTCAACACGGAGTTACGGACATGCAAGCCTGGACTCTTTGCAAATCCAAAGAGCTATTAGCAGAGGTCATAGCAGAGTATGAAAAAGTGTTGAAACTCTAGAAGCAGCAGAGAGAATTAGTATCTGAGATTAAAGGGTTTGCTAATTAAAAACAAGGAGATAACATCCTGAAAAAAAAAGTCTTGTTGTTATATTGTATTTTTAATATATTAACAGATCCAACTCTCTTCTTGCCAAAGTTTACCTTGAGATAAAGAATGAAGTATACTAATGAATTAAAGATACAAAAATGCCTGGTTATATTTTGCATTGTGTATGTTTAAAGAGTTACTATAATGACCACAGAAAGATTGCATTACACACATAGAAGATTACATATATAATGAAATTAAAAAAAAAAAAAAGAATTCTTAGAGACATAAATGAATGTTTGAATTCAGACCTCATCTTTGATAAATTGAACTTTACATGGAGGTTGTCCAAGATTTCATATCTCTCAGAAGAGGCAGATCTGGACAAACTGGTCAATCCACTTCCCAGCTGAAACCTTTGTTCAAATTCTGCAGAGCTGTTATCCCAGGAATCATCATCCATGGTAAAATCTGGATTATGAAGAGCCATGCACCGTAATCTGTCACACATTTTCAGTAAACAAAATTAAAACAGTGGTCTATTTCGCTGGATAACAGATGCAATTGCTCCTGCGTGTGTTAGCTTCACTGTTAGTGATTTTAATGGAAATAATCATGGAAAGAGATTTATTTAGTACAGACTGAGCTCCCCTCAGTGACACAGCTGGGTAGAGCAGTGAGCAAAAACAAAAAAATAACACAATATTTAGGTGCACCTGGTAGAGCTGCCCTCTGGAGCACCAGGCAGACCTGCTTCAGGATTTAGCATGTACAACCCCTCAGGAACCTTCCCTACAGCTCTGCTAGGTCTTCCAGTGTGTCAGACACAACAGCACACAGGAGCAACGCAAGCACATGACCTGTAGCTACTCATCCTTAGAGTTCTCTAAACACCCCCATCTCAGAGCTTACATTCTTTCTTTCTGCACTCACGGACCCTTTTATTTCATTCGGGCTCTTCCAAGGTAAATCTCTTTTCATCACCCCTGGTGTTCACATTATTTCAGAGCAGGCTTGGTGTCAGAATATGAGAGATTCAAAATATAAGAGGGATTCATGTACGATTAAATAGAAGAGTTTAGCAAAGAACTATTTCATGTAAAATGAAAGTAACTCACCCATTTTCCTCTGAGGAATCCTTCAGCAATGGTGTCCTCTCTGTAAAGCAAGTGTTTTTTGACCTTGCGCTGAATAATTTGGAAAAATTGAAGTGATATCTTTGCAGAAGAAAAAAAAAAGAGTTAATTTGCATTTTACTAGTACCTAACTAGTCAAATATTATTTAATATTCTTTAATAATGGTGTTCATGTATACTAGGATTTTTGCTAAGTTTGAATTCCCTTATAGTCAAAGGGGACTTGACTCAACAAAGTGAGAGATGTTTGCCTCATCCTACAATTGGAGTCTAAAATGGTCAAAGAATTTTCCTCTAAACGCCAGAGGAACTTTAGGCAATTAACTGACACTTCCATGCTTATATTTTAGACATCTAAAGTTAAGGCAGATAACAGTGCCGTAATATTAGCGAGGCAAAATACTAAAGGTAAATAATTATCTATTTTCATATAAGTTTATATAAGTATACCGTGTAAAACATTTGAATAACAGGATAATTTATCTTCCACAGAGGTAACTTGACATGTAGACAACCAGAAATCTACTAATCTCTAAAACAGCCATCCCATTCTTTGTATTAGGGAAGAAAACTTCATCTGAAATTAGTTTTCTCTTGGAAATTTCAGCAATATTATAAAAGTGGTGCAGGGAAAACTGGGGAAAAAAAAACACTTTGAAGGGAATTGCACTTCCAATCTATGCATACAGAATATAACTAAACTTTTAGGAATTTAATATCCTAATGCTACCTAATTAAAGTTATACTAAGTCTTGGTTTTGGACATCCATGGATTATGACAGCTATCACCTTTGTGGAAAATATATTCCCCCTTTGATGACAACTTAAATTCACAAATTCTCTGGCCCACAGAATAATCTTGCCCCCAAATACATGTCACTCCTAAACCAAACCTGAAGCTGAGAGAAGAAACCATAAAAGGCACCACAGCCTTGGCAGGATGAGTCAGGCTCTGTCCCTATTGCCAGAGGGCAAGAGGTAGCTGCAAGTTCCTCATTCCTAGGGCATAAACCCTTCAAAGTAATTTCTACCATGTCTTGGTCCTAGTGTTTAACCAGGTCGTAAGGTATATTTTGCCATATTTCAGTTTAGCATTGCAAAGAGTCTTCTTCTTAAAATATAGACCTCAAAGCTTAAGAAACGGCTGAAGAGAATCAATCACAATTAAGGAGTCTAGCTCTGGGAAGAGTTTTGGAGAGAGATAAATTCACCAAGCCATTAGAGCATCTGTAAGATCTGGCTCTTCTAGCGACATTTTCAATCATAAAACACATTATCCAGACACATAAAAATGAATTTCTTTCGTAACTGAGACCACCCACCACCAGAAAGTCCCAAAGAAATGTGCTAGACATACACAGATTAACTGTTCCTGAACATGTTAGATGTGATGGGCACAGGAATTACCTGGAAACCTTAAATGTCATTTGCTTTTTCTAGATTTCTAAAGTCACAGAGTAACAAATATTCAAAGGTGACACGTAACACAGTCTTTTAAATGTAAGACAAATCTAAAGAAAAGAGTAGGTTATACTTAACTTAGTATCATAATGGAGGACAGTTAAATTACTTGCAATGTGAGGAGATTAAGTGTGAACTCAGACTTTGTAAAATTGAAACCTTCAGTTATTACTTCGGTTTCCCAGCTGGCAGTAATCCTCTGTAGTCATTCAGAAGCCATGCCTTGAGTGGCCACACTTCTCCCTCAAACTCTTCTGTAAGCACTGTATTTGCATTCTCAGCAAAAGTGAATGAACTGTTAGAGAAACTGAATTATCTGGTACCTCGGGTCAGATGTTAGACAGATGAGAATTCAAGTGCTAGATTACACTGACACTTCATCTATGAAGAGATGATTGTTCACAAGAGATGAGCGAAGTTCATTCCCTTTTGGGGGGAAGGCATTCCCTTTTTGAAATAGGAAAAAATACCACTCACACCAGAAGTTTAATCCCTACATCTTAAAGCACATTCTAATCTAATCTTATCATTGCCTTAGAAGTAAAAGCTTACCTAGAGCTTTTACAAAAATCAAATCTCTAATATAAAATCTATAGGTAAAATACTATCAGGATTTTAAGCGCAGGCTCATTGAACATCACTGATATACTTCTGGCTAATCCTAGTATTCCACTACATTTGAAAATTGTATGATAACACATTTAATAAAAATTCTAATGGTGAGCAATGAATTTATGTAACTCAAATCAAGAATGATCAGCTGTTTCTGCTGTTAAACTTGCTGCACAGAAAAAGGTTCCAAAAAGTATATATTGCATATTTCTCTGATCTCACTGTGCATTATACATGTTATTAACCCTTCTGGACTTACTTTTCTGCTTGCATGCCTGTGCAAAGTTTAAAATTAATAGCTAGAAACCTTCCTACAAAAAAAAATCCATTCTTTTCTAATTAACGGTTACCAAAACTGCTTTGGGTTAGACAATATGTATGGAAACTGTTTCTTTTGAAAGGTAAATATATGGACACAAACAACAAAAGATGCTGAAGAATTAGCAGGCAGAGCCATTTCCTGCTACTTGAGTAATAAATACCTAAAAACCAGAACTTCTCACAATTTCTTCTCCAGTGATCCAAAGGGTGCGATGAACACCCTACCTCCATAGCATCATTGAAACCAGTAAAGACATGTTCAAGTCCCAAGAGGCAGACTATTCTAACGCATAGTGTGGTGGGTCCCTTTCTGTTCTGAACAAGGCTATTCTGCTCCAGGCAGTGACTGCTTCCTCTACCAGTAAAGCACCAGGCACATTTTGACAATCCCTGACCTCAGGCACCAGCCAGGGCCGGCGCCAAGTACACGGCCGCTGCAGACCTGCCCTGACTCTCTGCAGGTGCCCACGTCTGTGGAGAGCCGGGGACACCCTCACACCACAGGGGATTGAGCAGCAGCTCATGGTTTTTCTGTGTTAAGGCTTGCTTGTTAGACACACAGAAATTTGTAAAAACTGGCTTTGAAACCGTTTTGGAATCCGTAACTACTTTTTGTCTACTCAGCTGAATTTTGTCCAAAATTCTTAAAATTGGCAGTTTGTATAGACTTGAGCGTACACACTTTCAGCTGCACTAAACATATGCAAGAGTTGGTGTGTCCTGCTCTGTGTTCCAGAGCACAAAGTCTTCATCACTGACATAAACTAACCAACACGCTGAAGGATAGCAGCAAATACAACCAGAAGGAGATGATAAAGGTATTGTGGAAGGTGTCTGAAGGGATTGAACTCTAAGTGATGGATTTAGAAAGATGATTAAAGACATCAACCTCACTTTCTTTTGTGCATTTGTTATCCCCACTTATTAGTATCAGTCCTGTCACCTTTAAATGGAACTATAGGGTTTCCGCTGATTGCTAAGAACAGCCAGTTTGGTAAAACTGGAAAGTTTATCTGAAAACCATTAGTACATGACAACATCAATTTGTAGATAGTAGGAACACATGGATAAGAATAAGCAGCAGGAAACACCAAGACTTGACAAAACAAGCATAATTAGAGGAAAAAGCAGAAGATCCTCAACTACTCAGTGATGTGATTGCTCTAATTAGAGAATGACAGTAATATAAACAATAAAGCTAATTAGGGTATTAAAGAAACTCGACAGCAGAAAGCTCAAGAAAATTTGAAAAAAAAAAATCATGAAAGAAACATCACACACTTTCAGGTTCAGCATATTGGCCTTCTTGACAATGACCTCTTCAATGACTTGCAAAGCACAGCCCATGTGAAAAGATCAATGTAGCATTGATGTTGTTAGGAAAAGAAGAGTTTGACCTGCCTACTGCACAGCCACAAGCTCTGGTCACATTCATTCTCAAACTTGATAGAGCCGGGCCTGTTTTTAAATTAAGAGAAATCTTTCAAACAAAAGATTGTAGTTTTAATCACTTGTCTACTGCAATGAAAGTAGTTTATACAGATGTTGGCTTTCTCCATAGAAGTATAGGTTTGTTCTGAGGAAGTATGTGTTTTTTGAGCTGGTTATTTGTAGTCAAAGTCACATTTTCCTATCATTAATCTTTCAAGCAATTACAATTTTTGACTGTTTCCATAATAATCCAGAAGATCGACCAGCATCATAGGAGAGCTGTTGTTTCCATAGTCATCCAGAAGATCAATCAGCATCATAGAAGAGCTGTCCACCTCACAGACAATACAGCAGGTTCTGCCAAGTCATAAAGGTGTCCACAGATGAAACTCCAGCTCTCTGACAGAGGAGTTGGAGAAGGATCCCATCCACAAAATTTCTAAATATGAGGGTCCAAATGCAAGTTCAGGGCATCTAGGCAGAAGCTCCCACAATCTATAGATGTGCTGCAGATTCCAGGCATGAGCAATGTTCAGGCTCTTTTGATGGTGCTTGTACCTCTCCTGTACATCTATACAACAGAAACATAACCTTCAACCTCCTTGGACAATTTAAGGAGTAGCAAGCTCCCTCTGCCCTCCTGGCTACATGGAGGGTATGGAGAGATCAAGAGGGAAAAGGAACGAGTGTGAGAGGCTTCAGCTGCCCCCACTGATGGGCTGATAGTTCTTCAGTGTGGCAGGTGGCTGAAGCACAATGCAAGATCCACCTTCAGTAAACCTGTCTTTTCTATTAAGGACAGGTGATTACTTTCAGTGGTCTTTGGATCAAGTCCACTGAAAACTCAACTCCTGCCCCTGAGAACCTGGCCTGCATACATGCCCTGTGAGCACTAACTTTTCAGGCCTTTTCTATTTAAAAAAAAAAAAAAGCGGGGGGGGGGGGGAGAAAAGTAAAGATGGTGCTGTATGGATTGCTGTACAACACTAAACAAGCTTTCAAGCCTGAATACCCTAAAGCAAAGGACACCAAGAGAAGCAAACATCCTACAGGAAGCTAAGGAAGGATAAGCATCCAAGTTAGCTGGCAGAACCTTAAAATAATTCTTAGGTTGGGCTGGAGCATATTTTTTAGCCTTGTACTGAAAAGATTAAGCATGCTACACAATGCATTAAATTTTCAATTCCCATAATAAGGAGCATACATTTTAAACATCAGTTAATATAATGTTTCATCCGCCATATGCTAAGTCGTGC